GTAATTTGAATGCTGTCTAAATAGTGTTCTATAGAGAGTGAATTTCTGACCCGGGCCTACCTAGGCAACAAAGTTGCCAGTGTTAACCTTACAACACATCAGTGATTCTACCACTGGAGGGAGTCTGGTCACATATCCTTTGATGTAACTTTCACTCTAGTAACTTTCTGGTCTTCCCTGGGAATGAATTAGAACCCTACCAAGAATATGAATTGGTTTAACACAATCTGATGGGTTTCAAATTTTTTATTTCTTTCAGTTTTTATTTTATTTTTATTTTGTTTCATACTCACTAATATCTCTATAGTCATATTTGGGTAAAAGAAATTAATCTACACGCTACATGTCCTAGTATATATCTATCCTTGGAAAAAGTTAACAAAGAAAAACATTGTAAATTAAGAACAGAGAAGGGCTCTAAGGAAAATACCTAAACAAAGTAACCATCAAGGTTACAAGGCACATGAAAAATAGCGAACGGCAGATTTGAACTAGAAACTAAAAACAATTTTTAGGGCTAAGGTGATAAAGATATTACTGATAGGATGCTGAAGAGAAGCAAAAGATAAAAGTACTGTAACTGTGATTTCAAAATTTACTAGTCTTTAAAATTCAGAATTTACAGATTCTAGTAATTACTCATTAAGTTGAAGTGATTTCCTAACTAAATAACATGTAACTGAAATTAAGAAAGACAACAAGGACCTAGACACTGGCAAAAAAAGAAATTTTAAAAAGCAGTGGTTCAATTCAAGAAGTTATGTGGACAACATTCCATTCACAATAATAATTATTACTCTCTATTTTGTGTTAATATCAAGACTGGTAAATTCTATGAAAGTAATACTTTATTTACTTATTTAAACAATCTTACAGAATTGGTATTATTATACCCACTTTACATAAGAAAGCATGAGGCTAAAACAAGTTAAGTAATTTAAGGTTACACGGCATTCAAGAGCCAATATTCTAACAAGGGTGGTCTGATCTAAAATGGTATTATCACTATGCTATACTGCATGTCACTGAGACTGAGTAATGACCACCTTACATTCTTGTAATAAAGACTATTAAAGGTAACAGTTACGGGTACTCCTCTTAGATGTCTGCTTCAGAAAATGTCATTAAGGATTATCTAATATCACCGTGCTACTAAGCATTTGTTACTTTTATTTCCAAAGTTAAAATTTGTTTAATTCACATGCCAATAACATAAATGAGGTCTTAACTGACTCACAATTTAAATAAAGTTGATAAACTCAACATTCAAAGAAATTTATCTTTTTAAATATGTAAAAGAAATAAAATCTTTTTTTTCCTCCATTTTTTCCACATAAGTATTGTTAGAGACAAAGACAAGGAAATCTGTCAGCTTCTGTGTAATTTCTTTCCAATGTGTTTCCTTGTTGACTACATCATAAACCCTGTGGTTTATATCATATCTGGGCAGTCATAAAGTGCCCTACTCATAGAAATAATATTTGTTAAAGCTACAAGCCTTGAGGGTAGATTTAAATGTTTTAAAACAAATTAATTATGTATTTTCTTCCTTACTATAACAAAGCTGGAGGGAGCTTAGATACATGTAAGGCAACATGTAGATAAATCTTTCCTGTTTAACAAGGAAGAAAAAGCATATACATATATATATATATAAAAAATATACATTATATGTGTGTGTATATATATGATTAAAAGATGAAAAGCACAAGTAATATAAAATTCTGTGTGTGGGGTGGGAGCTGTTTTGTCTCGTCACAGGTCAGTGAAGGTCTGAAGTACCTATCAAACTGTAAATGGGCTCCCATATTATTAATGTTTCCAAGCAAGAAATTTTCTCTTTCATTTTATTTGAAAAGTCATAATAAAAGTACATCATGTATGCAATTTGAGTATACTTCAGCACAGCAGAGATGGAGAAACAAAAATACTCTTCTACTTGCAAAAGGAATAGAAACCTCTAGATTTACAGTATATTTTCAGAGTAACACTCAGGCAAGGACCAGGTGCTGGCAAACAAAGTACACATGCCTAGGAAAGACTATCCATGAGGTTGTGTGTGTGTGTGTGTGTGTGTGTGTGTGTGTGTGTAACTGTCTTGCTTAACTGAAAAGCCAATTATATGACCATGTGGACTCTAACCCATATTCTTCAGAAACTATTATTTTTAGAAACTATGAAAAAAAATGAATTATTATGGATAATGTAATCATCAATTCATAGGAAAATAGGCAAGTAACAGACAAAAACAAAAAAAAAAACCCCAACGAAACATGAGAGAGATACACAGTTATGTTCACCAGCAGGCATAACTCTTGGTTGATACAGTATGAAAATATTATAAAATTAAAAACATATCTGATTGGAGAACGTAAAAGAAAATTTACATTTAACAATCATACTATGCTTTCCCCTATTCTATTTTATTCCACTTCCAGGGAATTAATGTTTCTCTCATTTTCTTTCATCACCAAATTAACAGTAGATTCAAATAAAGTGAGAAAAGAGCAAACAAAACAAATGTATTCTATCATAAATTATGAAATATGGCTCTTATTAGGTACTTAAACACATAAATAGCTCTTCTGTCCCATATTCTGCCACATCCTTTTCTATGTTACATATTTATAGAAGTAAAATAATGAGACCTGAGAGGAAAGAAAGTGAAAGGAGGGAAGCAAAGGGAGTAGAAAGCATCAGCTGAACATTTCTCAATGTAAAATGATGCTAAATAATGTCTGTTTGACAAATTTAATGCAACATTTCATACGTTGTTCTATTAAAAACAAACAACATTATTCCCCCTAAATTATTCATATGAAGCCAAGTTAGTATTTTTGGAATTGACATGTAAGATAGGATAACAAAATAAGTTAAGCATTTAACAACATCTCTAAACAAAGTATTTCCAAATGTTATACATCTTCCAGTAGAAGAGTTAGCTCTTTGTATTTGTTGGTATATGCTATTTTATAAAATAAAACCCTAGTTAATTAGTCTACGTTAAATTACTTGGAAGTCTGCAAATAGTAATTTTCATAGATGTTGCTTAGTGCCAGCACCCTCCCCAAAATTAAATGTTACATAATTTGTTCATTTTGCGGGATTCCTAATTTGAAAAGAAACAACTAAAAAATAATATCAGAATAAAATAGCTACTCCTCTAGGGGATCACAATAAACACAGCATTAATTTTTGCACTCTGTTAACTTTGTGAACTTCATAAAAAAGTTTAAATTTTCCCTAATATCTTTGAAACACGTGGTAAATGCAGTTTTAAGTATTGAAATTACTGGGTTCTGAAAAGCAACAATGAATGCCTAGTTCCAATGAGTACAAGAATGAGCTTTTGCTATATCATTGCAATAAATAAAAATGAAGTCTACTTTTATTATTCTTGTGTTTCTCTCAAACCAATCTAAGAAAATAAAAATATTTACAACTTTCAATGGTTAATTACAAAAAGTCATTTAATAAAAGTATAAACTAAAATCCAAATTACTTCCTATGTGTTATTAAAAATAATCTTTATAGTCTATAATCATGCAAGCTTACATATGGAATACCAAAATGATAAATTTTTTTAGATACCATAAATACGTGCACTTACTACCATGGTGACCAAAACAGTCTAAGAATAAAGGAAATACAAGCTGCCTTTGCAAGTGTATTTATTTATTCATATACTACACCTGTTTCAGAAATTAAAGTGGTTTTGGTTTCAAAAAGTTTGAATTCTGGTTTCAAAATTATTAAATATAAACTTATATTAATAAATATAAAATTTATTAATAAACAAATTCGGTGCTCGGTGCTCGCTTGATATAAACGTGCTGAATAGCAATGACCAACCAAGTGATTACCATTTAAATGACTTTGGAAACAAGACCTCTGCTCCCTATTTGGATTACGCTGATAAATTTTATGACCTTACTGTGAGCGTATTAGCATCTGTACATAACTTTGGTTAAAGAAATGTTTTACAATCATTACCTTCATATACAGTTAAACATTAATTTCATTTATAGTTAAAAGTATTCGGGGCCCTCTTGACAACATGTGCACTGTGTTTCCTTTGTCAGATGTAGAATTTTACAGTCATTCGGCCAATCAATTACTAATCAGACGATTTCTTTACAAATGAAGTTTTGTTCCACATTACTGAAATAGCAGACTCTAACTAGTCCAACTAACCCAGAAGCGCTGTAACTAACCCCACTGCACACAGCACTAGCTTATGTCTTCAACGCTCAGACCTGTATTCAATCAATTTCCTTCTACAGGAGCCTGTCAACTTCAACAACAGAATAAACGATATAATATCAACACGCAATGGTACGTACTCGCCACATAGTCTGAATCACAGCACATATATTAGGCCAATATTTTCGACAGTCTGACTCAGAGCCCAAGAACCACGAAGATTGTGTCTGTCCTTGGTGCTGAAATGCACCGTTTTTCTGCGCCCTCACTGAAAAACTGTCATCCTAATCCCAATCCAAGAGTCTAAAAAGACTTGTTAATGTGAAGAGTCTGACGATGGGAGGTTTAAAAAAGAAAATGATAAGTTTCTGGAAGAGAATGCTAACTAGTGTGTGTGTGCTGGGGGAAGGGGGTTGCTAGAAACATCCCGAGGGCATTTCCCCTTCAGTGCCCGGCGACCCAGGAAATTCGGACTGCGGCAAAGATCGGAAACGCCTCGTCGGGGCAGGAGCCGCGAGCGGGAACGTCGCCCTCGTCCGGGCCAGGCGGGCGAATTGGCGAAGGGCGCCACGGTTGTGGACGGCGACTTTCCGCGCCAAGGCGCGAGCCCCGGGGTCCTTTTGTTTCTGGGGTGAGGGGAGGGCTGTGGGCGGAGGGTAGCCCATATCTGCATTTTTTGCACAGAAGGGACAACAAAAGCCCCTGCCGCCCTGGAGAGCGGCGTCGGCGGAGCCAGAGTGGCCCCGGCGCCTCGGCGCGGACTCGGTCCCTTTGCTCGCGGTCCCAGCCGCTCTTACCGTCCCGGTCGCACAGCTGAATGGCCTCCAGGCTGAGGTTTTTGATCACCTCCTCACAGGGGCTGGTGGGGCTGTTGAGGGCATGATCCAGGCGCGGAACCTCCATTTTTCCAACCCCCTTCTGAAGCCCGCCTGCTTCGTATCCAGGCTCTCTCTGCCGGCCGGGTGGGCAAGAAGGGCGGGAAAGGGAGGGGGAGTGGCAGAGGGAGGGAAGGAGGTCTGGGACGCGGTGATGCGGCGCCGAGGCTGAGGCGCCGGGCTGGAGAGCCGCCGCGAAGGCGACGGCTGTGGCAGAAGATCCGGGGAGTGTGCGGCTCTGAGAGACCAAGCAGGACCTGGCGCGAGGACTGGAGGCGCGCGCTCCCGGCGGGGAGGGGACGCAGCGCGCGGGGAACGTGAGGGAGAGGGCCCGACGCGCGCACGCGCGAGGGAGAACGCGCCCACCTGCTGGCGCGCGACGGCCCCTCCCCCGCCCTTCTGCGCGCACGCGCCCCCACCTGCCCTCGAGCCACCAGCAAGGCAACCTCGCTCGTGAGGCGTCGGGCGACCAAGCGCGCGGGAACGGTGGGCGGTGTACGCCGCCCGGCTGCCTTTCCCTCTCTCCTAGTTATAGCCATTTGGCGTCTTCTGTCTGCTCTTGGTGCGTGGCGAAGCCCGAGTTGGCCCTGAGGCGTCTGCACGGGGAGGCGAGGGCGAGCATATTGGTTGTTTATGAAGAATTGGAAAAATAAGGGCCCGGACTCTTCGGACTCTCTGTACGGTATTGGGGTGTGGGAGCCACCTCCTCCCCTGAAGGTCCCAGGATACTCGCTGCCCGAACCCTGCGGGCTCGGCCGGACATTCCTCGAAAACAGCTGCGTCTGTGTGAGAAATGAGCGGATTACCTGAGGCGTGGGGGGGTTTAGAGACAGCATTTTGCTGGTCCCCGACCCTGAGGCGGGGCAAACGTGGAACTCCTTATTGCCAGAAAGGTGAGGGAATGAGGAGATGCCGCAAGCCTGCTGAAAAGGCGGCGGGGCCAACAGCCACGGGACCAACAGCCACGCAGCCTGCCTTCGCCGTGTAGCTTCATTCATTCATGCATGTAGCAAATAAGTATTCAATGCTCACCCTATGCCATTGTTCTGGGCGTCAATAAAGGGAGGATAAACAGCACCTGCTCCCATGGATTTGGAAGGGATATTTGCTACAACAGCTAATGAAGATTGACTTGTGCTTCCTCAAGCTACCCTAAATTTGTATGCCCGTTGCTTTTAATTGCATTTAAGATTCTGCAGCGTACTTAGTGGATGTGCAAACGTTTTAAAAATAAAATAGAGGTCACAGCCTATTGACCTCTGTTCCCATTTGCTTCTTTGGAATAGTTTTTAGTTTGGTTGCTATCTCGGGATCAAAAATAGTGTCCCCTCTTTTCTTAATGTGCTTGTAAAGTAATGTAAGTTCCCTTTTATTGATTTTCCATTTCACACATAAATGTTAACCAACAAGTAACAGTTTACACATAGATGTCTGTATGCTACTCTTTTTAGTCACATCCGTGTAGCCATAACATGATGAAGTCTAGTTAATTGAAGCTTCAATAAATGGAAGGACCAGCTTAAAGTAAAATAAACCTGTGAAAAATCTTGGCACAATTGAAATTTCATAAATACCTGTGAAAGATAATTAGGCATCTTACAGTGAAAAGTCTTCATTGTGAACTTATTAATGAAGATGGATGTTTTCAAAGTTTGAAAGAATTCTTGTTTTAAGGTAGGGGTGTCCCCAAGGAGAGGGTAAATTATTACCTGTCAAAGGATATGACAAGAGAGTACTTACTGGTGAATTTTCTGTGTTCGAAAGCCTGGCTCTGTAGGACTAGAAATTGGTATTGTAAGCCCAAGAGTGGGTTCATTTTTTAGAGTAGTCTTAAATTTATAAATCTCAAAAAAGGAACTGTGTAAATTAGAATAACAATTTATTGATTTACAAGTAAGAAATACGACATGCATTTAATAAAAACTCATGTAAATATTTATTAAGTACCTATGTCCAGGACACTGTGCTATGTGTTGGAAATTTGGGTTTCAAATTTATAAAGAAAGATATATATTGAAAAAGTAAAAGTAGGATGGGTGTTAAGAAAGAGGAAGTATGGGAGCTTGTAGAAGCATACACAAGGTTTATAACCTAGACTAGATGATCAGGAAGATCTCCAAAATGATTTTATCTTAAGGGAATGAGAAATTATTAAAAGGCTTTAAATAGGAAATTAGCATGATCAGATTTGTTGGCTAGAATATTTGTGTAATAAGAAAGGGTAATGTTTCAAGAAGTGTATTAATGTCACTTTCTGGGTATACAACCTAGTCAGTCCAAAGCACCTGTCTGCTGAGGATTTGGATTCTTGTATAAAAAATACAAAAGAAATATTTACTATTTAACTTTTGATATTCAATATAGGATTTTTAAAATTGAGTTTTTAAGCTTAAAATCAAGTCATTGTCAAGACATAAAATGTAAATTTGTTTATGGTTCAACATACCAAGGCTAGGCCTGGTGGACGAAATGATAGGGTTTCTCCCATAGTGAAGACAAGGTATCTTAGTCCACTATGAAGGATTTAGCCAGAGATTGATATAAGGAAGGTGGTGGCTATGAAGTAGGTAAAGTAGAAGAAAATCCTATTCTCTTTGGGTTGGAGAATTATGGGAAAGGGGTAGAAGATATCAAGAAAGGCAACCAGAAACATTTTTACTATTCCCACCCTGAAGATATAGGGTGACTTTAGAAATATCCAGGTTGGTGTGGGAAAACTCAAGGACAGAGAAATTACTTTCCCAATTATTAGATATCTGGGAAGATATCAGGCTGAATAGGGACCATATTCCAGTAACCTTGAACAGTGCAGAGACAGGGTAGGCATTGACTTTCCAGAGTGCTGTGAGTTTCTATATAGTGTTGAGACCCAGAAAACAAGAAAAAAAAAAAAAAAGGCCTCTGTAGTAAAAGTTTTTCCTCTCATCTTCTGACCTCCAGCCTCTGAGTCTCATTTTCCCCTGAGGCTAGCTATAAGAAACTAGAATCCCTGTTCCCCAAGATTGGTTATAGAAACCCCAACTCCTTTTCCCCAAAGCCAGCAATAAAATCTAAAAATATTCCTCTAACTTTTCTTCTGCTTTTCTGTGTAAAATCTGGCCATAAAGAAATTATCTTACCTACCTTGTTTAACTGAAAGTCATAAGATCCTCATTCCAGAGAGGGCCCTGCCACATAGCCAAAAGGAAGAAGTGCATGCTCAGAGAGGTCAAGAAGAATCTAGACAGACAGGCCTTTCTGGGTTTACCTATTCGATCTATTAGTATGAGGTCATATTCCTTTTGTCCAGTCATATTTCTTCATGATTCTTCATACCTTGTTGAACCTAAGAATTAAAATGGTCAGTTTTTCCTGTGTCTTTGGGTCTTCATTCTGAAGGCTCCCCTCTGTTGGAAAGGTGGTGTTCAAATTTCATGTAAAACTATAATCAAGTAATTTTGTATGCCTTTTCTCCTATTAATCTGCCTCTTGTCAGTAATTTTCAGCTAACCTTCAGAGGGCTAAGGGGGAAGTGTTCCCTTGGTTCCAATAGTACTCAGAAGGTGGTTGAGTTGAGAACTATTCAATCTTCCCTGAAGTTTTGTGTTAAAAGAGCAAGGTGACCCTTTAGCAAAGAATAAAGGTTTAGAGTGGACCTTCTAAACCAGGGGTGTCTGAAGTACCAAAGAGATGAGACCCATCCATCAGAGATAGCTGCCAGACCCTGAAGCACAGACCATGAGTTTCTCTAGCTACCAACTTCAAGTGAAAGACCTGAAGCAACTAGGCATATGAGGAATGTCACCTCAGAGCCCAGAGGAGGCTGAAGGAATTGTTCAAACCCAATGACCCTTTGTCCCAATGCCTCAAGTAATGGTATCTAGGGCTATCTGATATTTCCATATACTATCTAAAACAGGATGTAAGGAAAAGGTGGAAATCTTAGAGACCAAGGGTCTTAACCTAATGAAACTGAACTTTAAGGAACTGCTTAAAATACCAAAGGAACCCAAGTTTCTAGGTTAGAATAAAAACACATTATTTCCCCTCCCCTGTTTGTCAGTGACTGAGATTTCATGAAGATAATCAAATCAGTTTAGACAAAATGAAAATTCTACGTTTTTATACCTAAATTGCAGTGTAGTTGCAATCCCCATACACTCAACATCACTTAATCATTATCTTGAGATGTCCGCTATTGCAATCAAAATCCTACCAATCATTCAAGCCCCAACTCACATGCTACATTCTTTTGAAATGATTCCCTCTGCCAAAAACCTTTATGTTGTATTTCTGTGGGGCTTTATAGTTCTCTTACAGACATGGTGTTATGATTTATAAGTTATTAATGTACATGAAGAATCAGAATCAAATTTTAGGGCCTTAAATATATATAATTCAATACTTTATCCAGTGTTAAGCCCTTGACAAGAAGTTATTTATTTCCTAATAAATATTAAATTTAAATCCTCATGAAGTTATCCAAAGTCTTTCTCATTCAGAGCCCAAACATATCTCCTATAAGAGCACTATAAAGGCCTTAATTTTCCCATTTGTTTGTGATACAGAATAATAATCCTTCCTATTATATATTCAAATATCTGCCTAAATACAGTTTTTGCAAACTTTTGTGATATCCCATTTTTTTGAGTCCCTCTGTCACTCTACACACTCTCCTCTAGATAGCTCCAATTTTTCTGAGTCCATAGGTAAACACACCAGGTGTGGAAATATAATAAGAATATAAAAGAAAATACAGTAGAGTAACACCATCTTTGTTGTGTGTGCCAGACATCTTGTAATGCAGCCCAGGAGCACATTAGTTTTTTTGACAGTAATATCACTCTGCTCACATATCCTAAACTTGCAAACACATAAAAATCCTATACTTCTTCTGTGAACATTTCTTATTTCTCCTGTGATATTGTAAATTTTAAGCACATATTCCAGTATTTGTGAACAGAAGATACTTAGGACAATTTGCTGAATTATTTTAGTGAACTCTGATACTTCGAATGTATTTAGTTATATTGCTCCAGCTAGCCTAGGATTTTATCAAAGTAGGCTACACAGTCCTTTTGGTAGGCTAGTCCATAGGTCTATCTTATTCATAATAAAATGACGCACAACCCCAGGCACAACCAAGGACTTTTTGACTATGCAGAGGGTGCCAAGAACCAACACCAGATAGAAACAAACTCCACAAAATGCATAATAAATGAGTGCTTCTTATTTTCTCTCATAACACTATGGAAACTTTTCCTAAGCCCTATTGTAAATGCAGAGGCAAAGGAAAACTTATAATCAACAGAAACACAGTTGAAAGCAATCCAAATATTCTAAATTATTTGTCCTGACTCAAGAAGTGTTA